CCCAATATTAAACACAAATGGACACATGTTCAAAACAAAAGCAAAACAAGTGTAATAACCAAGAATGATTGTAAACAGGAACAGAAATTGGCCAAAACTAGAACAGTTATGTTTTACCTAATGATGGGTGGAGATAGTTTATGTCATGCTGTGTTTACACAGTTTCAGGGTATGGAAGAACGGCAACATCCTTGCTTCCTATTGGATCATGTTTTCCCCATTAAGTCTGTGTCCAGGATGGTGCAGTGCTGTCTGGGCTGTCAAGAGGATTTCAGGTTTCCTGGAGTAGAGCCACTCAGCTGACACTCTGGCCGCTCTCCTATTAACTGAATTTGGTACACTACAAGGACATCACACATTTGAGCAGTCTGTGACTTCAATTATTTGGCAAAACAAATGGGCACTCTCACTTGATTTTGGCCTTTCTTTTACTCCTGTTCGGTGCTTTCATTAAAGTGGAATGATTCATTCAAAATACCAAATTCAGAACAGATGGGCAAAAACTGCCAAAATTAGAAATAAATGTGGGTCTGGAAGGGCTTTTTTGGGGGGTATACAGATCTACATAATACACCTTCTTCCAGTGCTTAATAAACCACAAATCTCTGAAGAAGTACAGTGTGACTGCAGTCTTGTCGTTCATAAAGCAGGGGGTAGACCTGCAGCTCAGACCAGTTCTCACAACCCTTATTATGGTGGCTTATTTTGCTTTGTATGCCAAGCATCAGTGCTATGGGTAAGAACACTCTCAATCTGTACCAAATTGTCTTGCAACGCACCTGCTTTTACAGAAGTGTCACTGATCATTGGCCAGTTGTGCTCTAGAGCCCCAACCAACAGCTGATTAGGGCAACGATGATCAACACTATGCCCACAGTTCCAATCAATGTATACAGTATGTGCATGAACTAGAAAAGAACAAATCAATGTTCCCACATATCATTAAGATCTGTGTTAAAGATTCTGGAGGTGAAATTGTGTTTTGGAAAATAAATGGAATTGGCACAAATCTTCAATTATGGTTTACTAATGCTTTATTTCAAAAGTCAGACTTTCTGAGAAATTATAGACTTTAGGAGAAATGGTTATAAATAACTTACATCTGTCCTCCATGTAAATATTAAATGCATATAAAGATACACATATATGATACACTAATTTTAGAAGAAGGATTTCTGCAGAGAAAGTACTTTAACAACCTGTTGCTTTCACAAAAACCTGGAATACAGCACCACCTAGTGCACAGAAGCTCTTAATACATGTTAACTGTTTGTGTGGCTATTCATGCACAACTGGTACATCTCTACTCCTGGTAAGCCTCGTGACATCCTTTCACACCCTTGATGTACTGTACAAGAGAAAATAATTATGATCCTTAACTTTTTATTTTCAGGTCTCAGTAATACCAGCCATACTATTACCTTTGATATCCAATCAATTGATTTTCCGTCAGGGAACAATAAATCTTAAATCTTATCTCTAATGCTTATTTTCTACCAATAGGGTTGTATGAATGTTACAACTACAACATATTGTAAAAACAATTAGAAACAAGTCTCATGGTTTAATTTGGCCTGAAAATCAATTTTATTGTGCTAGAGTGTTTGTGCAAGTGTGGTGGTAGCAGCTCGATCAGCCCCTGCCAGAAATTGGTTCTGGTCACTTGTGAGCTCTGATCATACACAATGCAAAACAGTGTAAGCTCTGTGAATGCAAATAATCTCTGAGTCTCTTCCACGAGATAATTTTACACTAATTTTCAAGTGAGTAATGCTACCTTGTTTAACTTTGCCCTAATTAATTACACTTATTTAAGTGTAATTCTGTACCTTTAATCTAACCATGGCTACCTACCAAACTATATTTGATTTGAGTTCATTAAGAAAATCTTACATTTATGCGGCTTTTGATATTTAAGATCCTCTCCTGCAGTACATTGAACAACATATTTTTTTCAGTATAGATTTAACTCCATCCCAGTTTTTATTGTAACTGAAAATTCATTCACAATTTTCTGTATTGATAGAATATTGTATCAAACCCCAAAAATACACTATCTCATTTTCAGAGCCAGGCAATTGAGCAACACTGAACTTGTATTCTCGTTTCGAACATACAGCACAAGGAAAGTTTTTCGGTGGCTTGTTGTCTCCGGATGGCTGTCTTAAATGTCTTGGTCAAAGGCTGGCTCTCTGGTTCTCTGCTATGCTGGGTGCACAGTGAACACTCTCTTCTTGCAGTTCTTCACATGCCTGATGGATTAGGAGCAGTTTGTATATACTGTAGGAGTCCAACTGTCAAGGATCAGGAAGATAATGACTGACAGCTAGATCATCTTCAGTGATTATCTAGGCTGACTGCTTGTCATAAATACATTATGTCTGACAGGTCAGTTTTATGACTTACAGTATTGTAAAATAAGGTTCTGAAAAATTTTCCTGTTTCAGTTCAGTACTCAGAGTACTACAGTATATGTTGTGGGCACATATTTCATATTTGGTTTTGATGACAAATGCCTATTCTTGCACAAGCAAGACTTGGTTGCTTTAGGTCTAAGTTCTCCTAGAGCAGTATTTAAATGATAAAATTTCATAGTGAAATCCATTAATGATGGATTGAAATCTGTGCTGGTAGTTCAGCTACGTTATGTTTAGTATTAGACTTGCACTAGGGATAGGGTTAGATTATCCCTCAAATGAAAGGTTTCATTAATGTAACAACTACAATGTTATGTACAGTAAAATAACACCGGGATATTTTGCACTGTACATCAATTATTATATGCATGTGTGTTTTCTATTTAGGCTTTCAAATATCAAGACCAATTTTTAGCTAGTATCAAAGTCAGAATCCAATCAGAATGGGACAATAACTAACTAAAGTTGTTGGAAATGCATGTGAAATGCATATAATACAAAATAATTATACTTGTGCTAGTGTTAGTGTTGGAGTATTTTTTATCTCATATTTATACATTATAAGTATATAAGTATTTTCACATACTGTATAAATAGATGTATGGTAGTGATTAAATCCAATTAAACTGAAATTAAATTTTGGATGACATAATCCATTTAATAGTAAATACAAATGTGTCTTCTCCATTTCATTATCATTATTTACATGACTTTCTATAATAATTTACTAAGAAAGTTAATTAATCATAAGTAGTATATCAAGTTTCTAAAGTTTCCCAAAATATACAATAATACAATGATTTTCATTTCAAATTTCATGTTTTGAAATTATAATTAAAGTTAGAAAATGTTACACGTACAGCATTACTGTTAACAAGATCAAATTTAAATCTAAATTGTAAAGAAATGTTTTTAAAGTGATCATGCCTATCTAATTTAGTATTTAACAATCAGTTATAAGGATGTTGTCATTTGAGTTAAACAATTACAATCGAAAGCCTTTTTGACAGTTTTTGACAGTTTAAAAGAATATTCCATACACTTTTGCGCATGTTTACAGTGTTGACAATCTATGCAGATTAACACACACCCTGTGGATTGACACAGTCCTGTTGCAGACTGTAATCTGGGGACAGGTATAAATACATACTGTATCTGCTGTCGGGTGTTGATAGTTTCTAATGAGGGACCTGGACAGCCTGAGGAACCACCCAGATTCTCACTAGAGCAAGTCATCTTCCCAAACTGGGCTACTGGGAAAGAAGTACTGTACCTTTGTGAGAGAAGTGACTGAGAACCCAGTGACCACCCTGTCAGAACTATGGAGCTCCATGGCTGAGATCAGACAGCCTCTCAAAGGGCAATAATATCTGCAGTACTTTACTGTTTTAGCCCCTGGGAGAGTAGGTAGAAGTCAATAGCACACATGGAGTTTACAAAAAAAGGCACAAGGTAGACTTTGAGCTCTTGTAGCAAAAACATTGTTTGGTCTGATGAAGCAAAAATTGAGCTCTTTGGCCTGAATGCAAAATGTTCTGAGGGTAGTTCTCAAACTAGTTGGTACTCTTAACTCAACATAGTTATAAAAGTATGTTTTGGTAAATTTGTGGATTTCTGATCTTCACTGTAATATAGTATTGTGTTAGATTTTGTATATGTTATTGGTGTTTTTTCTATTGCTTCTTGTATCTATATCTTTTTTATCTGTGATTTCGAGCACACCCAAAAAAAAAAAAATCCTAACAACATGAAGGGTTGGTTTGGCAACAAAGTTGACTTTGACTTTAACTTGACAGAGATTGAGCAACTCTACCAAGAACAGGCAAAAATCCCCAAATCGAGATGCAAAGATGATACAGACAAACTCAGCAACACTTGCAGTTGTAATTGCTGCCAAAGGTGCTTCCACCATGTTTTGATTCATAGGTGAATATTTCCGCAATCAGCATATTTTAATTTTTGGTTTATTTTTGCATGTATTACTGACATTTAACTTGGTTCATTGGTAAAAGACTTCAGCTTGAGCCTTCACATTTTGAGTAAAAACATTCACTTTAAAATAGTAATTTGTAATTCAATAAAATGGGTCATTATGTGGGTGATGTGGGTGAATACCTCTACAAACCATGTGCTTACACCACCTTAGGAAGCAAGTTGATTTTATGTCCTACTGTGCTTAGAATCTAAGGTTTTAATGGCTTCTTAATTCCATGAGAGATGATGAATCAAATAATAAAGATTTGAAAGGGATATATGGGTTATATAAACAGTAGTGATTTGCTTGTTTTGTAGAAAAGGTTTGTAGCAAGAAATATTAATCTCATTAATTAGAGAGTGACACGACAGTGACAGCCTTTGCTTGCGCGTTTCAGCAGAATTGTGTCAAAGGCGAAACAGCGGTGACGGCAAATCCAGGAGTCGAAATCCGATGAAAATGATTTACAAAAGCCTGCATACTGCTGTATTCACACTTGTTCCTACATCTTCCAACAGCTCAGTTTGAATGGGATGATTGGTCCACAGAGTAGGGCGGTGACGGGGAGGGAAATGACGGAGCAACAAGGAAACCGAGAGGCGGGCTAATTGGTGACGAACTGTCAGGCAGAGCTGCTGCTGGGAGTGCGGAAAAAGTGCTCATCACTGTGAGAAGTTTTAGTGTTTTTTATAGACCTGTCACACATTCTTATTCATGTCTGCAAGAAACCCTGGAATCGAGCTTGGTAAGGTTTATGTCCACTAAGTCCACTAAGAAAAGACAATGAAATGTGTGTTTCGCGCATGGATAGGTACAGTACAGTGACTTTAATACAGAGTGCTGTTGTCCTGTGATGATTCTTATTCTTTTTTATTTTATGTTATTTATGTTTATGTTTATCTTTATGTTATTCTTTTTATTTTGAAATGTAATCACTTCACAATTTTTTTAGGTATATAGATATGAAGTATTTTCCTTGTGCAATATCCTAACTGATAAATCATGGTCACCGTGCAGTATGCAGTTACAGTTTAATGGAAAACCGGGCGTTTATTACCGGAGTATTCCACAGATGAAAAAACACACGGTTCAGAAATTTAAAAGAAAACTTAATAAAAAAGGACACAGTATAGAATATATTATTTTCGTGAGCAGCTAAACGACGTAGGTTAGTTTTCTACACGTGGTGCGGTAAAAAGCGGTTGAGAAGTTTGTGGTTATTTTACCTAATGTGTCACAGGACTGGTGCTGCTAAAGATCATGTGATATGATTATGGAAAATTGCAATTTAATTAGTATCAGTGATAAAAATAGCTTGTTCCTTTCCCAATATAATTTGAAACTCTTTGCTTTAGAATTATGCTTAGAAAATTGTTAACACTGCACCAGGAGTGATGCAAGTTTTTGGCAGGATCCTGAATTACAGTATACACCATCCCGAAGCTTTTAATAACACTGTCATGCAAAATCAGTACCGGTGTATTAATAAGATTTAATTTTCTACCCATCACAGACCTAGGATGGGTGTCTAGAGTCCGTGTAAATCATCCTGCAGTTCTGAGACGGGCACAAAAAATACAGAGCTGGAAGCTCGTGAAAAAAGGATGGCAGGTATGTTGTGGTTTATTACCTGAACTCTACATAAAGGTGTATCATTTCTTATAGTGAATATCCAGATTATGTCTTTATCACAGTTTTGCATTTATCCATTTTACCTGTATTTACCTTAACATAAAGCTTAGCCAGCAGCCATATCACCCTGCAACTCACATCTGGCAGCCCACTGAAGCTCAGCAGGTGTGAGCCTGGTCAGTACCTGGATGGGAGACCTCCTGGGAAAAAC